GCTGATTTCTCTGCGCTGGGAAATGCTTAGCACGAGACTGCTTTAATTTTGTTTCTGCTGCTGATGTGTTTGTTGCTTTTCAAGTTATCCCATTGGCTGCAGGAGCACTGATGATTTCTGTTATTTATCCTTTCTGTCAGTTCAGTACTGAAGCTGACAAGCTGGGTCCCTCCAGGCCCATCTTCTTGCAGGAGAGTCACCTACACGGTTAACCTAAATGTTTGGAAACATGAGATATTTGGTTTTTAGCTTCTGTAAATGCACTTCAGACCTTTAACTGATGCTTTCTTTCAACTTATTTTCTTCCCCTCAGTAAGTCGCATTTATTTACGCGCTCATTTTGTGGGTGTTGAACCACAAGACAATGCCATCCCACAGACGCATGAATTGTCACTTTTTCTTTTCTCGTGTTTTCTTATTTTTTTTTCTTTTGGTTTTCTTTTTCCCAGTACTGGCAGCCAGCTATCTCAGGGTTCAAATTTATCCATTAATACCAACCAAAACATCAACATAAAATCTGAACCAATTTCACCTCCCCGGGACCGTGTAACTCCCTCTGGGTTCCCGCAACAGCAGCAGCCACAACAACAACAACAGCAGCAGCAGCAGCAGCAACAGCAGCAGTCGCGTCAGGAAATGGGTCGCTCTCCTGTTGACAGTCTCAGCAGCTCCAGCAGCTCTTACGACGGCAGCGACCGGGAAGACCCACGGAGCGATTTCCATTCACCTGTGGTGCTGGGAAGGCCACCAAATTCAGAAGATAGAGAGAGTCCATCGGTAAAACGAATGAGGATGGACACATGGGTGACATAAACTTGCAGTGTTGCCTCTTCAGTTTTGTGTTCTCAAAATGAACTGTCCTGACATATCTAAATTTATAAATAAGGACATGAAATAAGTATATTTATATGTATATACATACATGCATATATATATCTTCACATGCATATATATGTGCTAGTGTGTGTAGCATACACAAAATCATCAGGCACTTATTACAAACTTCTTGTATAGCTGCAGATGTCCCATGGTAAAATGTAACAGAACAATCCTATAGGTATTGATCTAGTCTGGCACTTACCTGGACTTGTTGTTTTAATAATATAACCTGTTTTGCAAAGAAACATTGTACCCGTATTATAATCCTACCACACTAGATTGCAGAAACCAAGAGGGCTCGCCTGTAGTAATGTCCCTGTGTGTTTTATTAAAGCTGTATGGTTACTTGTAGTTAAGAAATAATGCTTTGTAGCAGCAGAGCAGTAGAAAAGCAGGAAGAAGAAAGCAATACTGTACATAAAATGACCTTTATATTACCCAACCTGGCATGGGTCTCTATTGCAGAGGGTGCATGGAGAAGGGCTGATGCTAGAAAACATAAAAAAAAAAAACAAAAACCCTGTTTTGCACGTGCAAAAAAATAGTGTATTGGGTCAAAGAAGTGATTTTTTTAATGAGTGAAAGAGAGACATAGAGAACTCGCATGAAATATTCAGAAAATATTAGCCTAGAAAATAGAACATTAACAAAATAAAATTAATATATTAAGTTATAATTGGAATATGTTTGACAAATTTGTTTTTACGTTCATACCTTTGAAAAATATAGAAACGGATTTTAGCTCATGTATATTTTATATTAAAGAAAACAATACCCTAATGAATTGAAGACTATATATAAAGTTATATACAGTACTTTTGAACACATTCTGCTATGAATTATTTATATAAGCCAAAGCTGTATGTTGTAGCTTTTTTGTAGAGTATAGTTTTATCTTATTTTGACTTTCTAGTTTTTGCTTTCAAAGATGAAAAGGAAAAACTTGCAGGCGGAACCTTGGGGGAAAAATAAGCCATGAACACTTATATGTAAATTTAAATTTGAGCCAAACTCTTTGTGTATATAGCATCTTAAATATATTATCACCTTTGGTGTAAGTACCTATGTATTGTACGTTCACCAGATTAAAAAGTATATTTTTGTGGATTGACGCCAACTTGAAAAAGGCGAGGTCCTTATTAAGTAGAGTATTCACTGTTTAATATTTACTATTTTGTTAAATATACTGTACTTTCTTTGGATTTTAATTATTATTAATATTATTATCCAGATTTTTCAGAGGGTGTATAAAGGGGTTGTCCCCCTCACTGGTGGTGAATGTGTGCCGTTAAATTGTAATCTCTGTGCTGTATGGTTAAGCTTCATTATACATTTTATATATATGTATATAAATAGCAAAGTGGCAAAAAAAAATCCGGTGTTAAGTTCATCCTGCATAAATATAAAAAATCTGTTACAACACATTTTAAGGCATCATTTTAAAACTGCCTCTTCTGAGGAGGAAAAAAAAACAGTGGAAAAAACTTGACCTAATTTCTTATGATAGGGAAATAACACATATCAGATGAGCACAAAAGGTTTTTTAAGTGGTAAGTGGTTTGGGATAAAACCTCAGCCTTCAGAACTAAACGCGCTGTTCCTCTTTGCTGCTTCCATCCAATAGAGCAAGGAATCCAGAGGCCCGTGGTGTTGTTGCAGCTGGCGAGGAGAAGTTTGGTTTGGGCTCGGATTCACCGCGTGGCGTTACCTGGGGTTTGCACAACCCAGCTGTGCTGTAAGGAGAAGGGTGAGGAGGGAGCTGGTGGCACTGTCTGCCCTTGGCTTTGTAGGCCCTGGGCAGGGCAGTGGGCGAGTGGTGGTGAAGGCTGGGTGTGAGCAGCAGCCACAGGAGCTGAGTTTGGTGTTGCAGGCTGTGCGACCTGGCTGGGTGCGAGTGGTTTTGTGTTAGGGAGCGTTGTTGCCTTGTAGAAATCTGATTCCAGTTCTGTGCCGTGCATCTCATCTCCCTGTGCACGTGCTCTTTTATACTGGGAACCAAAGGGAGTAGGTATTGGTAAATCTCACTGAGGTGGGTAGTTCTGAGGAAAAACTAGAGCGTTGTGTTATTCCTGAAACCCCTTTAAAGTAATCCCTGTTATTTATAAAATAAAATTTGGCTTTCTTTTTTTTCTTAATCGCTCACTTGATACTGTAAGTAAGAAGTATGGGAAATGAAAATCCGGTGCGGACAGCTATCTTGGCTGCTTGCTTTAATGTGTGATGGAAGAACAAAGTTAGGACGTACAGCTTCTAAAACCCACCGCGTGTTGTCATGGTAACTTCTGAAGTCGTACAGGTTTCAATTTGTTTCAGCCACTTAACTGTGGAAATCGTTCTCCATTTGCTGCAGTTCGTTATCAGTTTGCAGAAGCCGACAGGAAAACGAGACTTTTTTCTAACAGCAATTCAATTTCCAAAGTGACTGAATTCACTTACCACTACAGAGAACCTTTTAATGCTTTGAAAAGTTATGTGATTTTTTTCATTATTTATGCACATCTATGAACTTTGCTGTACATCTGAGTGGGAGTTCTGCATTCACATTTACTGTCTATTTTCTTGTGTGCCTTATAAGATGGCTTTGCTGACTGTATCTCAATAGTCTTTATTTCTATGCAGGTTTTTAAACAGTAAGTACTATTGCTGTTTTCTTAAAGAAAAAAGCTACATAAGGGTTAGAGTTTGTATTGAAATTGCACCAGTGAATTTACAAAAACAAACAAAATGGTTCTTAAGAACTGATCCTGGGACTGTTAACGTGTTGCCCAAACCCCTCCAACAGACTCGGCAGAACAAGTCTTTTGCAGACCTCCCGTGTCAGTGGGAGAATCTCATGCCATTAAATAAATGGGAATCCTGATTTTTAGTAATGAGTAATGAACTTTGGAACATACTTTTTTAGGAATTGTTAAAAAAAAAAAAAAAAAGTTTTATAAAAAAAGACATAGCACAGATATTTCAACAGTTGAAAAATACTTTTTTTAATTAAGTAAATATATTGAATGATGTTGCAAGTGGATCCAATCCTAGTTTGAACCCATTCAAGTCTGACTGATTTAAGATTTTTATCTTCTATCGTGACAGATCACCTCTCCATCTTTGAGCTCTCACTATAGTATTTAAAAATTCACATGTAATCAGGGATTCGTCAGAGAAAAATGCTTTAGCCTTTCCTTTCACTTAAAGGACACTAATGCATCAGAAACTTGCGAATTACTGTGCGCACAAGAAATACATAGTAAATAAGGAACATAATAACTCCTAACAATTGATCATGGAAAGACATTAAATTAGAATGTGAAAGAAAGACTTAACAAATGTAAACATTTAAATCTTAGTAGAAACTTTCTTCACTTTGCTGTGCAAGAGAACACTGCTTTGCTATATTTAAAATGGCTTTTTTAAAAGAGATTTATGTATTTGGTAAATGTTTGTAGTCAACAGTTCACAAAGAAGCTGTTCACGGTTTAATGATGATAAGCCGTTTGGCGGCACAAGCTGGACTTTGTTGCCATCCTTGAGACGAATCTTTTAAGAAAAAAAATAAGTTAATCTCAATTTTTTCCCTGAATGTGTTGTTTTTTCTTCAATATACAATAAATATTCTAGTGAACTTTTTATCAAATGGTTAAGAAAAAATGCTAGAGGTTGTTGTAAAATATTTGTATCCTGCATTCACTAAAGTAAAGATACTGGCTTTTACTGTGTACTCCAGCCTCTGTCGTATTTGCAGAGCACGGTGTTTTGTGACTTAGCGTGTGCTTCTCCTCCCTGCCCCCAGTACCTGAAATACTCACGAGCTTGCCTTGATGTAACTGGTTTTAAGTGGCAGACAGAGACAAGTTCCACTAGGAACTTTTCTTTTTTTGGTTACGTGCACTTTACAGTCAAACTAAGACCTGGGGTGCTCTAAGACACCTGTTACAAAAGGGTTAGACACGAGCCAACCCCTGACAGCATGACCTGGCTTAAAGGGTCCAGTGCCAGGTGCTGCTCCTGCACACCCCAGCTCCTGTGGGACTGCTGCTCAGCTGTGCTGTACAGCAGCTTGTGGTAACAATACTGCCCCCCTCCCCTCAAAAAAATCACACACACACACACACACAGAAACCCACACATAGTCTGGGGTGGGTGAGCGCCCCTTGTGCTTTTATTTCATTTTCCTTTATTTAAAAATGTAGTAATTAATTACCCCTCTCCCCAACCATGAGAGATACTTTTTCCTTCACAGAAGAAAATACAAGGTTTGTTTTTTTTTTTCCAGTACAAGATACATTATGTGCCTCATTCACAAAATTAGTTCCCTCACGCTGTCCTGAGCCTTTTTTTGAAGGTTGCAGGAAGCCCAGGGAAGCCCGGGGTACTGGGTTAACACCACACGGTTCTGCTTGGTTTGTGTAATGGTCCTTGCCCCTTAGCGTTTGTTCTAAGCAAAAAAAAAAAAGTTAAAAAAAAAAATAAATGCTCTCAGGCTGCTCTTCCTCAGGCCAGGAAGGGATTGCCTCTGCACACCACCAGCTTGTGCTGCAGCATTCACCCAGCCTTGCTCACAGAGCTTTAAAAGCAACAGAAAAGGCTTTCAAACCTACATACCACAGGCCTACCACCACTCCACAGCACTGCCTGGATGCCTGCTGCCGTGCTGAAGCAGTTGCTCGGATGATCTGAACCCTGACACACGCAAGGATTCTGCCCGGAGCTCTGCCTGCAAGACAGCAGCGCTCACGCTGCCTCTGAAGGGTTTCCTGCAGGAGAAAAGCTTGTGACGTGAGTCACCCCCAGTGTCCTTGTGTTGTGGCGCACCTCAGCTAATCCCCTCAAAGCCATGGCTTTAAGGGTAGGTACACCAGGACTGCCCCTCTGCAGGAGAGAAAGATGACAATTCAGCAAAAAAGTCCCCACTTCTATTCTAAGCAAAAAGTGTTTTCTTACAATACAAGCAGCTGCCCGCTTTCCCGTCACACTAATACTGCACTCTGTGTCACAGCAGTAAAGGGCTCAGCTTCTTCAGCAAGGCCATTTGTAAGAAATACCTGCAGCAAACAGGAGTGATTGCTTTAAAATACTTCCCCTCAACAGAGTTCACAAATGTTAAGCCAGCTGCCTCTTCATCGTTACAAGCAACAAAGCATCCTTATTCTTCCATAAAACCACATCACCTCAGGTTCAGTCGAGTTCAGGACTACACCATCAGCTACTTTAAAAAAGAAATTAAAAAAATCTCTGTACTGTTATCCCCCCGATTGCACTTGTGGCAAAGTCACAGGCTTATGGGCCTCAGTGCTGGGAGGAGGGGCTGTGTTTGGCTGCACCTCCCCCTTAGGATTTTTTTCTACCTCTGAGCTTTGTAGTGGTTTCCCTTCCAATCCATCTGCTGAGATGTTTGAGGTTAGTGTTGTGTTGGAGGTATGAGCTGCGGCGCCATTCTCTTGGGTTTTAAAATAGATGATGTAAAATACCGGCAGGACGATCCCTATCAGGAGCATCACGAACACGGCGTTCCACCACTGGATCCCCCAGTCCGCACCAGTGCTGGGCTCCCGCTTCCCCGACTCACAGAGCGGCCTCTCCAGCGCCTCCGTGCAGTACTCGGCGTTCAGCTGGACCTCCGCCCGCACGGCCTCCTGGATGCTCTGGTCGATCCCCTTGAAGTAGTCGCTCAGGTGGCTGCCCTCAGAGCTGCCGGCATCAGCCTCGGGCTCCGGAAGGTCCACGAGCGTCACGCCGCTGGGGCTGTGCGGGGCTGGGGCTGGCCTCAGCTCCTGGCTGCTCTCGGTCAGCAGCCCGTGGGGCTTCACCGGGATCTTGATGGACTTCAGCGCGTACAGGTCCTGCTCCCTGATGAAGTTGTTGACGCGTTTGATATCCGCCACCTGCAGCACCCAAAGAGGACACCAGGATTAGTTCAGACGACCCAACCAACCTGTTGCCGGCACTGAAACGGGAACTGGCTACAAAACCAGGCTGCGAGCACCAGCCTGAGGTGAAAACAAGCCCTGGCTGCAAGTGGCTTAGTGCAGTGCGGAGCCTTTCCTGCCTGCTCTGCGACGCTGGGGACACCTGAACAGGGGGTGGTTAACCCAGGGCCCGGTCTGGTGCCCCTGAAGCAAAGGGAACCCTCAGCTGCGGGGTCAGATGCCTGGCAGCTTGCCCCCGCCTAACATCAGGAATTAAACCCTTCAACGTTACTTTGTTAGGCTGACACAAAGCATCCTAACTGAGGTGATGCTTCAGTGTTTTGTTTTGTTCCATCCAGAACAGATCACTGGGACAGCAAATGTCCCCCGCAGCATTTGCAGCCAAGCACTGCGATGCTGTGCTGGAGCTCCAGGAACGGGAAGGGGAGCAGCACCCACAGCGCACCAACAAAGTTGATGGGAAGAACGCAAGAGCACGAGGCTGCGCAAGCCATTTAGGCCATTTTTTGTACTCATTTTTGGCTGCAGCGAGCTCTTCTTGTCCCAGCTAGAAACAATGCCAAAGCCAGGCCCAGACTATAAATGGTCAAGAGTGAAAAGGAGAAGTTTCAAGTGCCTCGCATCTCTGCCAAGTTGTCTATAGCACACACAGAACTAACTACTCCTTGCACTGCCTCAGTGCCCCTGCCCCAGATAGGCCCTGGTAACAAACCAACTCCCTTGGATTTCAGAAAAGCTCATCCCGTACATTTTGAACAGTCACAGACTTGTGCAGTTACAGATCTCAGTGCCCTTACAGGAGCTGCTTAACTGTGCGAGTAACCCAAGATACACCCACACTGTGCCATGTCAGGGCCAGCAGGTACACAGATGGTCACACAGATCTCCAGCAATGAGGATTTCTCTCTCTAGTTAAACCAGAGCAGGTCAGAAGTGTGCGTTCTGGAATTGGAGGCAGTTGGACATTCCTCCTGCTGGAGAACACGGCCACCCCAGCCCCCATCAGCTCCCTGTCCCCACCAGATGAGCAACTGGACTCTGTGGACAGACGGGGATGGCAGAGGCAGGACCGAGCCCTCTGTTACATTACAGGGCACACTGGGATGGTTCCTGACATAAACCAGGAGTTGTTCAGAATCCTTGGAGTTCATGGACTGCCATGATTTGGTGGAAGTGGCAATAACCATGCAGCTGCTGGTGCTGAAAGAGGAACATCGCCTTACTACAAAGTCATCTGCCATGGCTCTGAGGTCTCATTGCTCTACTGGTTCCAGCCAAAGCCCGCTCAAACCCCACCAGGCTCTTCCTCACAAGCATCAGCTCGGCAGTGGAGCCCAGGAGGGCTTTTTTGTTTTGGTTTTGTTTCTAAGGGAATGGGAGGGGAGGAATTGTCGCAATTCCTCCAAGCCCTCTTGCTTCAGCTGCACCTCACAGCTGTTATTAAGCAAGACAGGCTGCAACAGCGCTGCAGCCGTTCAGCCAGTTCTGCCATTACCCCCAAGCAGGTCACTGTCCAACTGTTTGCATCATGGAACTTCTTAATCACAGTCTCGCTGGCAGATACAGGAGGCTCTAAATACACAGCTTTAACTGCTAACCAATGGGGTATTTCTGATGTTCAGATCAGGTAATTAAAGTTCCCAGGAGTTTTTCCCATAAAGCTCACCCCTTTGGCACAGAGCTGATGTTTTTTAGCCTGTTCCAACTCCGGAGAAAGCTCCCTGTGCACGTGCACTCTTGATGGCCGAACTGCTCAGGCTTCTGGGTGCTGCGGGGAACAACCCAACCCACACCCCGGCCAGCACAGGGGCTCTGTGACCCGGACTTTGGCTTCTCTGCTCCTCTAAGCCCACCCCTGCAGCGTGCCCGGCCACCGACCGCTCCCCACCCGTGCTGGGCCAATGCTGCCGGGAGGCTCGGGGACCCCCCCCCACCGCCCAGCTCTCACCTGGCAGCCGTACTGCAGGGCCAGCTTGTTCAGGCTGTCGCCCTCCGCCACCTCTCGCTGCAGCAGCACCACGGCCCCCGCCCGGCCGCGGGGAGCCCCTGGGGGCCGCTGCTCCCCGCCGCGGGGCCGCAGCTGCCCGGCTCGGGGCCGCTCCTCAGGGCCGGGGCCGGGCCCGGCGCGGGGCTGGCGGCCGGGGGGGCTGCGGGCGGCCTCCATCGGCCTCGGCACCTGCGGCAGGGCCGGGTTCTGTACCGACTCGCCTCACGGGGCGCTCACAGCCCGCTCACAGCCGCACCGGCGGCGCCCCGCAGCCCCCCCGCACCTCAAATCGCCTCAGCGCCGCCCCGCCGGGAGCGCCCCGTCAGGGCTCCCCTCAGCGCCGCGCACCTCAACCTACCGCCCCTCTGCCCCGCCTTCCCATTGGCTCGCAGCGCCGGGAGGCGGGACCTCAGCGCCAGCCGGCCAATGGGAGGAGGCGGAGCAGAGCGGCAGCGGGTTTGGTTGAGCGCTGGAACGTGGCCGGCGGGAGGGCGCCGCTTAAAGGGGCCGCGGCTCTGCCTCCAGGGACAGCGCCCCCTGGCGGGAGGCCCCGGGGCTGACGGAGGCGCTGTGGTGAGGCAGGGCCGGGGGGGGGCGGGGCAGTCAGAAGCCGTCCCCTCAGCGCTGCCCGGCCCCTTCAGCCCTACGGGCCTTCAAACTACCCAATTTTACCTCAAAATATCATACCTGTTCTCACCTCTGTAAGAATTCTGCTCCTAGCAGAGTGGGATTATTCCACTATGAGTTAATTCACACAACAAAGATTCATTTTCCTGAAAAAAAAGCACCATGACGGGAGGCTTTCCAAAACACCTTAGAGAATTACCTGCCGTCTCCAGGCTTTTTCAGTGTAAGCGTCCTCCACTGAGCTTTCTGTTTGTAACCGCTCAGGTTCAGCCTCGTGTCACTCCCAAGCAGCATTTGCTGGCTCCCCGGCCTTTTCTGAGCCATTGCAGCTCACGCAGGACAGCCCAACCCCACAGCGCAGAGCAGCACGGCCCCTCTGCACTGCTGAAGCTGAATTTATGCAAACTGTGGTCAATGTGGAGAGCACAATCGTTCTTACCAAGAAACAACTGCCTGTTCTGTAGGAGAGCTGACGCTGGCTCCAGGCCAGCTGGATGGGGGATGTCGTCATGCCCAAGCATTAGGATGTTTTTGTTGTCCACAGATATGTTGTGAGAGCTGCACAGACACGAACAACTGAAGCCTGTCTGAGAGCTGAATGCTTTTGTCATTATACACATTTAACCAACATAATTGTCATATGTGCCCTGAACTCCAGAAAGAAATCCTCCTACTCCTGATTTATGTCAATGCAGAGGGCAACAGAACTGAAAAGTCTTTCCCTTAATCCCAAGTGGCAGTGGCTGTGACGCTGGGCACCAGCCAACATTCACATGGACGCAAATTCCTTCCTGGGAAATGTCACGGTTAATGTCATTCTGATAAAGAATCACAACTTCAGTGAAGGTCTTGGTTCTGGCTTTTCCAGAAGAGCATGAACTGGAATAGGGTTCTCTCCTTTCTTGTCCCTGTGACTCCTTCAAGCTCTTTTTGCTCAGACCCAGAGTTGCTGTTCTCTTCCTCACTTCTGCTTTGTTTTTTTGCAGGCTCCCTTCAGAAGTGTTTTCATTTCACACATATTCCTTGTGTATTTCTTTGTTTCTCTTTAGGCAGCCTTCTGTACTTTGCCATCAAATCTATTATTTGGATTCCAGGTCACTCAGCGATAGTCTGAGTTCTGCACTTGGGAAAACTAGTAACTTAACATACAGCTTAGAGAAAGCAGTTTTTTGTATTGCTATTCAATTAATTCACTCATCCACAGATGGGCTGTTTCACACATCCACATTTGCACATTGGTGCTACCTGATGTTTGGGCTACGGCTGCTCAGGTTGGCATCTGATGGTTTCCAACAGCCCAGCACTAGTAGGAGTGAAGATTGCAATTCATAAATCACCAGGGCCACCATTAATTGTGACCTGACCCATGATTTAAGATTAATAAAAGCAAGACAGAGTTAAATTATTCACCAATTTCCTCTGCCACACGGGCTATTAACAAGAAAAATGTAGAACGAAGAGCAGTCAATAAAAGATGGAGGAGGAACCCTCACAAATACTCAACTACAGCCCTGACACCACGTACACCACAAGCTGAAGAAATACTTTAGCATCCACTTCTTAATTTCAACCAGTTATTCCAGTCTAGTTTAGCATCTATAGGGGAAGACTGTAATACATCACTGTGAGGCAAGAGGAATCTACCGATATTTCTGATATCACTGCATTATATATGTGTGTATATATATATCAATAAGTATTCCTTTCTATCTTTATTTTGATGTTTCCTGTTGGGAGACTGGGAACGCAGCTGTAGCTAACTGCATCCATATTCAGGACATCGCATTATAAAAATTATGAAGCCTCTATTGCAAATAATTTACAAATGTTAGGCTTTGCTCTGGTTTTGGACTTACGTAGCACAACTGATTTCAATGAAGATACCCCCTGTGTTAAAGGCAGAAGCACGAGCCAAATACAACGAAATGATACTCTCCCTGGTGTCTGGCGTGACTAAGCTTATGTGGGAACTATGTACACATGATTGAATTATAAACACAGCAACAAGTTTAAAAACTAGGTACACTAGGCACAAAACGCCAGGAAGAAAACCTCAGTGAAATTAAATTCATTATAGGTGTATACTTAATATAGCTAATTGAGCTATGGAGGTTACTCTGAGTGCATGTTTGGCACTGTTACACCTTGCCTCTTTCCATGGTGTCTCCTGTTGGAAGCACTCGTCTAGCTCAGCAGGTTCCAAACTCAGCCACGGGCAACTCCATGCACAAGCACTACTCCTGCTGTTGTCTGCCCTCGAAAAGTCTTGGGCTGAAACTTGGCAGCCTCAGGAACGAGCTGACAGGTTAGGTGGTGGCATCTGGAAAGAAGCACAAAATCCGTGTCTCCCCTCTGTAACGTAACAGAAATTATATTAAGGACCCAGATTCATTGACTCATCTCCAGCTCAGACAACAAATGACTCTCACCTACAAGGACTACATCTGCAACTCTCACATACACTGGGACTCTGAGGATTGAGGCTTTCATCTTGGGAACCACACTGCAGATCTGAACAGCACTGCCGTCTCCTGGAGGAGATAATGTGTCTTTGCTCAGAGATCTAGTTCTGGGCTTGGCTTCTATCAAGCAGCACCATTTGGCAGGGGCTGCCTGGTTTATGTGATAGCAGAGACTGAATTACTTAAGAAAAACAGAGACTTACTCTTTATATAAAAACAAATGACAAATTAAAAGTGGTTTTAATTTTGCAGTTCATATTTTCTTGGGAATGTGCCAAATCCTGGAGCCCATACTCCACACCCTGTCCTTCTGGAGGAATTTGGCTAGGGGAAGCACTGTAAGATTTGTTCCCTTTCCTCTCCCTTACTCTTAAAATCCTGAGTACTAGTAAAATCCCTCCCCTTCGCCCCCCTTCCTGCAACTGGTAAATTGTGAAGAACAGGAATGTTCCTGGGAAGAAACCCAGGCTGAATCGCATTCAGAACAAGTCAAAGATTTCTTGCATAGCTGAAGCATGTGTTTGCAATCCCCAACTGCTGGAGCACATAAGCCCTGCCAGCGTATGTTTTCCCTTCAGATGTTCTCAGAGAGCTCGAAGCAGTGTCTAGGGCACCCTGTGGACAACATTTTGCGCAGGCATTGCTCCTTTTGCCCAAGCTGTTAATGGTGCCAAGGCCAAAAAGGTTCTCAGTGAAGGTACAGCAAACAGGCGGCAGCACTTCTCCAGGACCCTGCGTTAGTGATGGTCAGAGCCATCGGTCTGCATGACCCTGAGCCACAAACCGGCTCCATTTGGGCCAGTCAGTTTGGCTGCTGGCACCAACCTATCACCCCAGGCTTCAGGCAGCTTCTAGGGCTAATGAACTCTGGTGTAATTAGAATGTAGAGCCCCAACAAAGTACTGCCCAGCACAGAAAGAAAAAAACTGATTAAAACCGTAATGAATGCCCAAAAGGTAAATTATAACTGTTGGGATGCAACAGCTAGCCAGTAGATACATCCTGTTCTCCCTTCTGCCCGAGAGCTGCCACTGATCTAGAGGGGATTTAAATCTTCCACTCAGTGATTCAAAACTGGAACGTGACATGGCCAAGGAGGATGGGAGCTGGGGACCGAGACACTGGTTGGAAAAACACTGCTTCGGCATATTTGTGAGGAAACTTTTGTCCTTGGCACCACGCAGCGTGCAGTACATTACAGGAGCACAAAGTGAGTCCTTGCTCAAGCTGGTGCTGATAGTGGGGAAAGGCAGGTTGATGAAAGCATCACTTGTCTTTCCAATGACCTTATCATGTGAGCTGAGCTTGCCAAGAGCTGTCTCTCGCTCTGTGCTCCTCATGGTCCGAGCCAACAAGCCTGAACACACTGTGCTGATACCTGATATTGCTCAGCATTGCATGGCAGTCTCTGATCATCGCACACATCCTTGCAGAATGGGATGATGACTTTTCTGTGCTTTTCTGAAAGTCACATGCATCCTTCCTATCTCCAGCTTGTCTCACTTCCAAACATGTCCAGTTCCACTCTGCAGTTTCTTGAATGTAACGTGTCCCAGGGAAGGCCCTGAGCTTGCAGGAGGAACAGAGAAAACAGAGAGGTCTTTCAGTGCATGATCTTTGACCTCAGTACATGAGTGGCTGTGCTGTGCTCAGCTTGGCTCTCCATGCTCCCCAGTAGAGTTCCTACCTCTTTACTGGTGCATTGCAACAACAGTAAGAAAGTAACACTGGGGGGGGACAGCAGCATGCCTTGCTTTCTTGTCAAACTCACAGGAACTTGTGGTTGTGGTGCCTTCCAAGGTCTTGTGGAACTGAGGTGTCCCAAGATTTGAGGGTCACTGCGCTGGGCACAAGCCCAAAGCAACCGCTACAGCTGATGGTGCTATGGGAAAAGCATGTCCTAGGAGAGAGGATCTTTGTGGCCTCATAGGACAGGTCATCAGCACTGAAACCTGTGCTTTTGTCACCATGCCTACTCTTTCTCCAGTTCCTGCAGTCCCTGCCCAAGCAGTTTGTGCTCGTGTTACAAAGAACACACAACTGGCAGACCATGAGAACATTGTCTGCAATAGCAAGTACAGCCAGAACGAAAATGCCAGGGCTTAGTTCAGACCCTACTGCTCACCACTGTACCAGCCCTGCTGAGCTTGTGGAAATGAAGGCAGGATGGAGTCTAGCTTATGACTTTCAGTGAGGTGACATGAAAATAAATGCTCTTACTTGACTGCACCAGGAAGAAAGATGTAGGGTTCATCTGATACCATTTTTTCGGAATGTTCAGATAATGGCGAAAAGGCTTGGCAGAGGTGTTAAAAGCTTTGTTTTCAAAGTAGGAGCATTGAGGTCAGGGAATTAGCCCTAAATCACAAAGCAAGGCTCTGGGATTTTTTAGACAGGAATATTTCAAGAGCAGGATGTCTTCTTCACTGCTCTATGTGAGCAGAATTTCAGGAGCTGCTTTTGCAAAGGATTTGCCTGGTCCTTCACATCAGCAGTGCCCATCGTGGTGTCTGAGTGGTATGGACCCAAGCTAATGCTGGAAATGGCAAGAAATTAAAAAAAAAACAAACAAAAAACACAGCAAAAGCCAGCCCAGACACCAAAAATGATGGATGGATTAGAATGAGGGATGGGAAACAAAACAGCCCTGTTCCACATGAGTAATTAAAAAAAAAAAAAAGATAAAATCAGATA